CCCCCCCCCACGTCTCTTGCCTTTTGTGTTACCCTTCTTATCTTATTGTTTTCATGATTATTAGTCGCAGCGAAGGAAAAACGATTAGTAGAAATACGCGTGTGATGTCAAAGACCGTACATAATAAGATTATTCACTCAGCCTGAAAAATGTGTGTGGAAGTCAGCGCATTGCTTCAGATGGCGCTGCAGTCTTTGTTTTAAAGCTCTCTTTCGTTTCTCCAGAAGAAGAATAGGAGAAGCACAGTTTGTTAGTTTTACTTTAAATGTTTTTCACACAAGTAGGGATATCCTGTTCTCAAAGTCCGCGCTTTTTCGAAGAGGGCGCCATCGCCTTTTTGTGGATACTTTTTTGATTGGCTCAAAGTGTCAAAGAGTATACATTATCTTTGGTGATGTTCAGGGATCTAATGACTGTCCCATTTATTTCACAGTTATCGATACCTCCTGGATCACAACTCACACGTCTTGCGAGTCACCGATCCGGGGGAGCGATACCATGTGTCCAGAAAACCAGCAGTCTATTGGCCCTTCCTGGACCAAGCCTTGGGTCCTTCAAACAAGTGCTGAAGCAGAGGTGACCATCAACTGCCCAGTTGGAGTCGGCTACCGATTCTTTCTCCCATTTTCCACGACTCTCGTAGACTTATAAGTTATATTGTGGGATTTCAAACAAAAATGCATCCAATACCTAAATACTTACAGCTCAGCACCTGTCAACAACGCACTCTTATGTATACCTTTGAAGTGTACCCCATTGTACGACGTTATTAATTCTATGTATTTCCTGTTGGTTCTCGGTTTATCTCTTGAAACTTTAAGTTTTCTGACAAAGTATTTCAAGCAATCTTGAATGAGATAATATTTTCAGGTAGATCTAAGTAGCCAAGTAGATTCATTCTCTAACTTGTGTGGACATGAGGGCCAATAAGTTATGAAAAGAAAAGGAAAAATGTTTGTTTTTTAACAATTAAATTACATGAACTTTTTTTAATCTAGTACTAGTAATAAAGCGGGAAAACTACAAACATTTGGAAAGCAAACGTTTATTTCACGTTATAGCTCAGCAGGCCCACTGAGAGGGTAGTCTGATTCCCAGTTTTTAAGAGGACCTGCATACAAAGTTTGCTTATGGAATGATAGGCAGAACACATGCTCTGTAAAAAAATAAGTTTTTGATTGTTAAAGTGTGTTATTCTACCCTGAATCACGACAAACACATACACATACACAAACACACACACGCACACACACACACACACACACACACACACACACACACACAC